TCAAATCCTAAAGTAAACGTCTATCAATATGGATATGATGAATGATGTCAGGGTTCCGCATCTAGCTGCGCTTTCATATAGATGGATCAGTGGTCAGAGCGCGAACTTGCCGACCGAAAATTCCGTGGTTCGAACCGACCTCTGTGGTTCGAACCCGACCTCTGCCTCTCGACTTCCACTGTCTAGGCTTGGGCGACCTGGCAGTATCCCAGCCATCATGCTGCCCTTTGGTCGCATGGTAATTAGGCACTGAAAGGGTTCTACAGCTGAACGATATAGATTATTATCAGGCAGCACGATCTGAATATGTTGCCGTTCCACAGCCTCATGTTCTGTCGAAGCAGATTCGCGTGCCATTCAACCTTCTTCCTTCCCCCGCTTTCGATGAGGGTTTTCTTTCATTTACAAACAGGAAGATGGCACGCCTTAGACGTGACAGCCTTACAAAGAAACTGCACCGATTGGTGGCTTTCATTTATGTCTGAATGCCACATGTTTGGGCAGTCGGTTGCTATCGCAATTTATTCGGTCCGGATATGGACTTCGTCATGTAGCTAAATCCAACAAAAGAGCTCGGTGTAGCTATTCTGCCTCTTCTTTAGTTTTCGTGTTACGTGTCTCCAGGGGGGATTGCTGTCCACAGCTCCACGTTAATAGCAGTGAATTCCAGCAACGAGAATGGCTGGTTGGTAGAGTCACTAATTGGCACTTCAGATATGACTCTATCGATTTCTCAGCTTTATACGTTTTTTCTCTTTGGTAAGGGAATATGTTTTTAATGGCATATAGAGGGTGTGTAATCAGTCAATATCTACTTGAAACGGTCGCCAATGAACACCAAGAATCTAAAAGGAGATTAAGGTCGCAGAGTTTCACAATACTAGTGGAAGGAAAAGCGCCCTCGAGAGTGGAGCCATCTGTCGATCAACGTGAAGGTAAAAACCTCACTTGCAGAATTTCTGAAATGTTAATATCCTGAACCGTTCTCTCAAACGTTCCCAAACATTCTTTGAATATAAAAAAATTGGAAAAACAATGCAGAAAGGTTACTTTGTTTCCGTATTAACCCTCCGTCAGATGCATAGATGAGGCATTTGCACTCTACCCAACGCTATTTGCAAGATTCGTCAGTAGTATACATAGTTAGAGTAGTCGACCACACCACCATGCCTCTTGCAAACGGATGGTCAGCAATCTGACTGATTGCATCCAGAAAGGCTAGAGAGTCACCCATCTGTCAGCATCTGATGTAGAATCGTTTCTACGTATGTCAAACAAAGGTATATCGAAAAACCGATTGTGTGATTGTTCCCTTTGGTAGAATACTCATCGATTCGGACAACTTCACTCGAGTATCAAATTCGGTAATGAGTCGGACAAATTTGAACAAAAACCAGTGTCGACGTTGGGCTCACTATTCCCCTGAGTGAAAATTCGGTTTAAATTTTGGACAGTTGCTTGCAAGTTGGCTTACTGAAACACAATTTGGGCTGATGTGTCTTGAGACTTTTCGTGACATCAATGAGGATCCGATATGAGTGTGATCTTCAGCCGGCTTTTGCCGACATAAGCTAGGAACAAATGAAACTATAAGGTTTGTGAAGTTTTATTCCGTCTAACTGACATTTGGGTTTACAGTTATCTCGGTCTGAAAGGACTGCGATCAATAGAGAATACTTTGACTGGGTTCTTTTAGATTTTCTAGCCCACTTGGGTTTACTCAATGTGGAATGAGTCGTTCCGACTCAAACGCAAAGGTTAAAAAACCCTTGGTTTTTATCATCTCAGTTCCCATTGCATAATTCAAGTGCTCTTCCAGAGCTATTGCCTATTGATTTATCAGTAGAGTCTCCCCTCAAAAAGAAGGAGGTCTATTGTTCGGAAGTGACAAACAAAGGAACTTTGAGAAGGCCTGTACAGGGTTGCAACATGCAAAAGTACACTTTGTTCCTTCTGTATTATCGTGGTAAGTACATACCGAACGAACTTTGGTGTACTTGGTTAATGTTGCACCGTGTGTACCCTTCTACGATAACAGTGAACTTTATACCCATACCTGTGAGTGAGCAGAATGCACCGGTTCTCTTGTGTCTCAAGCATACCCATTGTCATATTCGTCTGGTGTGTGAAATCATTCAGCCTACCGAATGTAGTAGCTTCATTACACGCACAAAAAAAGGAAGCAGAGCGGAAAATTGCGAAATTCTGTCTTCTCAGTTTCATTTCTCTCTCTCCCTCTCGTTACGTTGTTTGTCATTGGTTATCATATCCATCTTTGACCAATCAGTCACTGGACAATTAGCCACATTCAACCAACTTATATGCCAGATGTCGTCCGCTAAGCTGGGCAGTTTGGTTGCGAAAGTTTCTTCACCATCCGCAGTGCCATCATCAGTGACGTCATCAGTCTCAAAGCACTTCCACTAAACCTCACTGATGTCATCGACTCGACTGGTGATGAGGCACTTGAAACCAAATCGCCCAGGTCAGCGAATAAACCAACGATCCTCTGGCCGGCCCAAACTACTAATATTTTTTCAGTTTTAGTATTCGTAAGGGGATTGTCTCACAGTGAACGACGTGTTGCCTAGTGACTACACTTTTGTGAGACGGTTGTTCAAACTATTCGATAGGATTGCTCCAGTAACCACACGCAGTCTACCATGTAACAATAAATCTACCTGTATTCAGCGGGCAAACTCTGATTGTCTGCTAACTCACATCAGTTGCGACGCTGAATCGCGGCCACGTGATCGCCAGCTGGGAATATGTGGCAAACTACGTTGTGTTTGTTCGGTCACCTGATCCGTAAAAAAATGCCTCATTAAAATCTCAGTGTGTTGCATAGAGACATTCTAATCGTAGCTGAACATCTGGGTCTGAGATTTTACATAACAAACAGGTAATGTTCCGGATACCTCATTTCCGCAAAATGCGCCAGTTGCTTTCGTATGTGTTCGCGATTTGTAAGTCACGGAAATAAACCTACTCAAGCTCAGAGGGTTATTGTAAGCAAACAAATAAACGATTATAATCGTGCGAACCCGTTAGGAGGTCACACAATGTTGTGAGGTGTGGAACGCCATCACGATCTAGTCCAACTGAGCATCAGACTGAAACAAATGCTATCGCTAGTCATCGCAATTACTTGTTGAATTTTGCTTTTGATCAAACGTGTTCGGATGCTTTCACCCAGGTCCTAGAGTTATCCAGTGACGCTCGTTTACAGTTCCCCGACTACCCGCAGGCACCGATCTGATCATGCTGCGTTAAGCCTTCGAGATTGGACACCTAACTGTGATTCGATCGAGCTATTCAGTGAATACCATCGTATGTGAACTATGACTTACTATGCCAACTTGCTATCATTTCAGAAAATAACACCTTTAGCTCACTAACTAAAAAAATAAATCAAAAAAGCTTGTAATTTGGTATCTCTTTTACACGTTTTCCACCATCTTTTCTGAGGCGTTTCTCAATCTATCAATTAGTGGTTGCGTCACGTAATATCACTATGCTTCTGGGTCTGGGCAATTCGACCCCCTTTTTTCAGTTCCGCCTCTGCCCGGGGACTGCTTTCAGACGCGAAAAATACGGAGACTATGAGTGCTTGTTTGCAGCGCTGGCCGGCTACATGCTTCATCCTCTCAACTCTCTTCCTCTTTTACAAGCAGTGCCTTGACAAATTGGCGGGTGTCCCCTTGTGCTTTTACACCGGCCTATTTACTTGACTGGGCAAACATAATGTAGACCACATAGTTGTCTGAGAAATACCCTTATTTGGTTTTCACGAGAGACTCAACTGAACCTCTCGTTTATGATATTCTACAACTGAATGTGCTGCGCACAGGCTGCTTCATGATTCAGTTGGAACGATATTCGAGAGATCGTAGCATATTTTCATAAGGGAAAATACTCACAAAGTTGCTGTCGAAGGGTTTTCAGCAATCTTTTGAGTAGTTTCCTTTATGAAAATAGTTGGCTGAGTTCTACATAGAAAGGTATCTACCGTGTGAATAAAGATTATTTGTCAATCTTGATGAAGGCGAGCTGGGTGCTGCGCTCTAGGGCAACCACTTTCGAGTTAATTCTTTCCGCATGCATACAAATAAATGCCATGTTGGTACCAAAGACCGAAAGCTGTTGTGTCTCCGCATGGGCCACAACAGTATCACAATTAATCACCCGGATGATTCAGCTAGACTCGTCTAATCACCACTCAATACCATGTTTGGTTACAAACCCAATTGACCTTCATTCGAATGAAGTCAGGTTCTGGGTCACATAGAACATTCCACATGCTCCCCTGTTCTACGCGCAGAGAAAATCCAGAACATTTTTTAAAGATTACGGGAAGGATGGCAGAGTCCTTCAAGGTTGATCTGCCGCAAAACTGATTCCCTCTCCCTGTTGTTATCATTTTGGCTGTCATGCATTTGGTCCCAAAAAATCACGTGTCTTTTGTGACTAATTGAACATCAGTAGAACCTTTTTAACTGCACAAATTCTGAGATAAAAAGGAATATCTATTTGCGAACACAAAAGGAGGTGTCTGTGGCGTCCTTTGCGGTTTTCGGACCCCAGCATTATTTCGCTAATGGCCACAAAAATACACGGATTCGAAGAGTGTTGTCGTCCATTTTGGAAACATGCTGCACCCTTAGGGGAAGATTTCCCGGAGGGGTGACAAAATTCGGGTGAGTTGTCCTTCGCTGTTGGTTTCATTGAGTAACTTACTCACGGTGGTTGGCACCAACTTTTCCCACCTATAATCCGTATTATATTTTTTTCTCAGCAAAGTTATAAACAAACCGCTCATATGGAAGAGCACACCAAAGTTTGATCGACGCAATATGTGGAAATTTCATCTTACGCTATACTACTTTAGAACTATTAAGTGGACGAAAATAAAATCGACAAATTAGCCGCACCAACGAAGAAACCTTGCATTGTGGGCAACCAAAGACAGACGGATGAAATATCGATGACCAGGAACGTACTTCTTTGACGTCGAATGCACACGACTGTTAGGACGATAACAGTGACAACCACGAAGAACACGACGATGGGAACTGCGACCTCAACCGCCAAGTACGTGCCGTAATGATCGTAGCTGTAATGAAATGGAGAGGAAGGCTGACTCCAGTGCACCCGTTAGTTCTAGATGAAATGAGATGTTCACACACATATATAATCACTTCGTTACAAACGATCAAGATGGTCACCGGAGGTATATAGTCTGGGATATATAGGGACACAGGTGAATGCAGGTGAATATGGGTTTGTGAGTGGTATCACAACGTTACAACGTTAATTTGAACCAGAGACTACCAGTAAGACAGTAGAGGACACGTAGCCACCACTAAAAATGTGTACTGGTTCACTCAACACTACTCTCAAGTAGTGATTTTACGGTTTTTTAGCGGATAGCAGTTTCTCAAATTGTCATAGCACCGTAAACAAAGACATTTGTTGACGTTCTTTGCTCGTTGCGGAGAAATCAACAAAATATGCGCGTCTACTTCCCCAACCATAAATGGTTAGCCAACCAGTTGGTACAGTCCGTCCCATGAGAAATCCTGCCTGTTCATTCAGTGTGAAGGGGCATCGGGTGGTAACAACTCCAAATCAGATTCGCCGGACGAACAAGTGCGGTCACTGGATGCTATGATGTGACTAAAGAGTGAAGACGTGGACACCATCTACTCCCGCGGTTCGGCGACGGCGAAAGATCTTATGGAACTTCGGTTTTGAACAACCGAACGTAGTTTTACTCCATCTATCTTCGTATTGAATTACTGAAGAGTTACAATACAGACTTCTACTCGAACGTGATATTCTTTACAACAGATGTTTCAAATGTGGATCTATGGTACTGATTTCCAACCCATCAGTTTGAACCGAGATGTTTGCTCTGTGTTAATTCTACCATAGCTCGTCGAAAATGGCCGAGTAGGATGGGATTGTGCGTGAATCACCTGAGATAAGCAGAGGCAAAAAATCATCGAAGCCACCAGGACATAATTTCACCCTTGCACCTTGGCGATGGAATATTTTTAATGACTTACTAATATTCCTCCCACTGTGAACTAAAATACGGAATTCAGTGTAATTCTAGCTGTCATTTGTGACGAATATAAGTTGGTCAGCTGGTCCCATGCCACCGTAAGGAAGTACGAAGGTTGGGATACTGCCAGGCAGAGGTCGGGTTCGAACCACGGACCTTCCGGTCAGTGGATCTGCGCTCTAACCACTTGAGCCATCGCGACCACTGTGACGAATGTAGCTCAAGTAAAACCAGTTCTCAATTGTGGATGGCCTTTTTGATCTGCTGATTGACCATAAGTGTTGGTAACGGATGAGGCAGCAAGCTTACTTCAACGAAAACTGAACATGTTAGGACGTTAGGTTTTTTTTACCGGTGTAACACAACGTAAATGTTTTCCGATTGGTGGATAATCCTAATAGAAACCAGCTTACCTGTAATAGCCATAGGTCCCCACACCGTAGTACCTGACTGTTCTAATCGCATAAATAAAAAGGAACAGCTAGGATACATACCTTGACGAGCTCCTTGATTTTCTGTGCGAGACGACAACCGCCAAAATTTAGACGGAACACGAGGACAGTGAGTTGCAAAAGTTGACCAAGGGAATACTGAAGGCTAACATGTCTCCGACAGAACCCCCCCCCCAGTCCGGTCCGAGGTATGCCTTTCGGGGGGAAAACTGATCACTAACACACATGAAACAAAAATCAGTGGCACTAGAAAACTACACCTGTGTTTGCAAGCATTATATTTGATTCAGTTTAAATGGCAATGATAAAACCCATCGAGCCCTGTTACGCTGACCTGAGGGTGCCATTCCTGCCTCGTTTGACTGCATTATGTCACCTAAAGCAAGGGCTTTGTTAAACTATTGAACTAATGCAGTTTTGATAGCCTGGTGTAAAATAAGCAGTGGGAAATTCCACTCTCCAACCCAAGCTAAATGGCCCTCTGTATGTAACCCTCCCTATTTCATTCAACCAAGATTTACAAGTAGCTCCAAAATCTACAGATTATGACCTCACTTTTATTCATATTCATCCCAAAGGAAATGCCAGTCAATACGCATCGATTTGGGCCGTGTTTTGGACCACAGTTTTCCTAATGCCTTCTTAATACCGTGAACCCCAGTCACGTGGACAGTCACTTGATAGCCTGATGCGCTTAGCTAAACCAGAAAGCCAACCAACATGCGAGTCAGCTGATCTATCGAACACTGACGCGTACAGGCGTGTCGTGTGCAGCCGATAACGGGCTGTGCGTAAAGCTCACGTGGAAAGTTCTAGGCGGGCCAAAAAGTGATGCTAAAATTAGAGCTCATCTGTCAAGGGCAAGTGGAGAACAATCAATCGAATCTGTCTCAACAAAATGGTTATTCCATTGGCAGTAACCTTTAGAGCTGGTTCTCCCAATAGGTAGCTTGTGTTAAAAAAGCCCACATGCATAAGTGACCCAAATTGTTTAGAACGATCAACGATTTTTTTCAGCGGCAGGTACGAGTGCTTAATAAGGAAATTCTTCCAAAGTTTCTATTTAAAAATACCTTCACTGTTTGCGCAATTTACTCCCATTTTACTTATCCAAGCATTTTTCTAACCACATTGGAATTCATGACCTGGTTCGGAACCCTTGTTGATTACGGAGGATCAAATAGCAGCCAAAGGGCCGCAAGTTTTTCCGTGAACCAGCTTTCGTGATGAAACTCAGATCGCTTGAATGGGTTTCAACTTCGGTTCCAAACAAGTGGGCTTGGCTTTTTTTTATTTCTTCCTTCTCTTCTTCTGAGGTTGGAACCTCGCACTTTATTTGAGTAAGATGTAACTGAACAGGGGAAATGCACACTAACCAGTATGATTGTAGATTTGTCTATTCTGATCTCTGCCTTTCTGACTTACTAGCTCTGAAGGAAACATCCAATATGATACACACTCTGTTTTTTTCTCGATGTGAACCAAAAACCTGTCAACACGTGAGATCAGTAGCACCAAATCCTGTACTATGCTTTATTCGGGCACCAAGAATCTGGGCATCATAATCTATGGATATATGATAACCAGGCCAAACGAATTTAAGCAATAATAAAAGAGGAGAGAACTATCCAAAATTTCGCTTCGTACTAACACCCGAGTTTCTAGAGAAGACCATACAGTGCAATAAGCCCAAGTGCTTTAGTACTGGCCAAACGTTCGGCGAAGCCCCCAGACAAAAGACTGTAGGTTTTGACCTTCTTGAACCTCATCAAGTTGACCTGGTGGATAAAACTCTGTCAACACGAGAAATGCGCTTGACTGGCCACTTCGACTGAATACATCTGCGTTTCCTTGCGGAACGTCGAATTTTATGTCTTTTGTGACTTGCACGCAGTTAAAAATTAACCAAACGTTGAAGAAATAGTTACCTGAACCTCACCTGAAACGTTTGTTTTTAGTGTTTCCCAAGGACATAAGCCACAAAAAGGCAGTGTGATTTGGAATTCCATCAAACGAAAAATGATGAAACCTCAAACGCTACCAATCAGGGTAAATCCAACCGAAGCGGATTCAAACTAGCCATCTTTCTCACTAGCTTTTCTGACCATTTGAAGTTACTTGGAATCAGGTCACTTAATGTTCTTTTGTTGCCAGTGTTTTTTCTCAACCTGAATACATTTACTGAATTAAGCAACAGAAAATCCGATGTGATGAAAATCAAAGGAGAGAGTTAGCGGTGTACGTGGTTCCGACTCGCTCAAGACCTCAAAATCTATATTCCAAAGTGCATGCTACAGCCAGTTCCCATAGGGTCAGCCTTGCTCTGACAAAATGTGGATGGAAATTTGCCTAGAAAAAGGCTTTTCAAGTGAGGTTTGCTCTCGCGATTGAAGTAAATTTATGCTGAACAGCTGAGAAACACGGTTTAGCTGTACCATCTTTATTGGAAATCATCAGCGGTAGACATCTCACGAAACCCAATAGAGACTCAAACCACGGACTTTCAAATCTTTCGGCCACGAGCAGCTGATCAGCACGTTGGTCGACTTCACCTTAGACGGAAAGGGGTTCTGAATCTCCTTCAATCACGTGATCACACGCTCTCCTCGAGTGAGGGATTCTCAGATGAAAGTTTTTACCAGTTTTGTGAAAGTGTTCTTCCTCATCACTCGGGGTCCTAGTCAACAGGTGATGCGGTTTCCTTAAAGAGTGGCCCTATATCCTGTCTAAGTAGGAACTTATCGTTGTGCCGATCAGTCGCTCGTAGCCGAACGGTTGAGCGTTCAAACTGCTAGCCGGGAAGGGGTTTTAGACTCCCCAGAGTTTCGTGCGACGTCCACTGCTGATGATTCGAGACTAGGATGAACCAATTATACAGTACTTCCTGGCTTTTCATTCTAGGTTGGTTTCACTGATTGGACAAAACGTCAAATGAAAATTAACAAATCTGTCCTCACTACCGTCAGAAAATGGGGTTTCTGCCATAGAGGCATCTCGACCGTGAGCTTCATTTTGTTGGATGAACTCCGTTTACTTTGGTCGCAGTTAAATCAACGTTGGTGACACGTTTACTCTGATAAGATGTGCATGTCTGATATTGGAAAAAACGATCCAGGAACGGCGACGTTAAATCAAACTGATGCGATATGTTATCACTAATACCGACCACAACCGCAATCACCCATTCCCCATCCGTGATGTTCAATAATGGGGCTAAAATGTGCTCGGTACCTTGAAATACATCCAGCAGCAACTTTTGTGACTGAATTCCCGAAAGCCAAAGTAATGTTCCATTGGTATCGCGATCTTGAACACAGTGGAAAAGTATCGCCGCTCGATATGTACAAATGACTGTCGTTTTTCGTTCTGATTATAACCAAGTTAGCGACATGGTTTCAGTGCTCACGTGTGAATCTTATTGGTAACACGTTTCTTGATGCCGGGAATGAATCGAGGATGACAGGGCGGCGAAGATCGTGCAAGACACACAAACTACAGCCTATAAGGATGAAATATTGACTTGCATTTTTCCTTATTTCTTCTTGCAGTACTGAGTTTGATCAATGTCAGTGGCCAAAAGTTGGAAAGCGAGTCTTATCCTGTTGTGCAGTCTTTATGATAGACTTTCTACGAAGCAAGGATTTAAATAGTGCTTCAACAGCCTCTGCAAAGACTCTCGCTTCTGTCATCGTTCTGGTCAAGTTGAAAATGTTGCGTTTATGGTTGTGTTATTGACTTAGACGTAGGAGAAGCAGTGAACATTTCTTACTTCTCGGTCGTGATGTTTGCTCACCGATTTATCTCGTTGACGAACGTTGCATTGATCACTATTAGCTAAACTCGTTCAGAACAGTTCAGTTGGCGAAACTTAGTATCTGAGTTCGCGGCAGGTGAAAGGACTACCGATGAAAGGAAGAAAACCTTCGCTGCGAAGTTGCCTATCAGAGAAACATCAACTGAACAGTTACAGACTATCGGACAGCGAAGCAAAACTCTCATATGCATCTTGTTTACAAAACTGAATACCCATCTTCTCCTTGAACGCGTATTCGTGAACTTTCCTGGATATTCATTGACTGGTACTCATATTCGAGTAAACGCTACAAAGCGACTCCACAAATTCCGTAACAGATCTTACTTTTCAAGAGACTTGAAGCGGATTTACGAGAAGGCACTACTCGCACGCCTCATTAGTAGTATCCACCGTAACACCTAAACCGCGCAATCAGAGGGGTTAGGTGCGAGTTGGGAAAGTTAGGAAAGTTTGATCTGAGTCCAATTGAGGAACAGTACTTTTTCTTGTGATTATTGCTGTCATTTCGACATCGCTTTTTTATTCAGTATAGTATAGTACAGCAAAACAAAGTACAGTACGGTATATCATGGCTAGGTGTATCAGGGTATAGTACACTAGCGTACGGTGTGGCATAAAATGGTAGATAATGTACCATAGTACAATACAACACAGTATTGTGCAGTATAGTTTAGTATAACATGGTACAGCACAGTAAGTTATGGCCTATCACAAGATAGTTTGTTACACTTGAGAATGAAGTGATGGGAAACTGGAT